TGATGCCGACTACGATGCCGGCGAAACATTTGGGAATGTACCACGTCCACGGTTCAAATTTGGAAATGATCATGATCCAAAGTCGGACTGTGGACGTGGTACATTCCCAGACAGGTCCACGGTCCGAATTTGGAAATGATTATACGTACAATGGACTCCGGACTAGGTGCGTTCCTCTAAGTCTTCCTACCAATATGACCATGTTGCGAAAACAAGTACAATGGACCCCTGACTAGGTGCGTTCCAATAAGTCTTCCTACCAATATGACCAAGTTGCGAAAACAAGGTCAAACAACTTCTAATCCCCCTACAGTTTTTGGTGAGGCCAACGTACGAATCCCTTCCAATCGCTTCTTCGAACGAAATGAAAGGTACTCCAACATGAATCTATTAAGGGATTCTCCGAAACCCAGTTTACCTGTATATATATATATATGTATAGGAATTTTTTTCATCGTCTTATTATGTCGCCTTTACAATGATTTGTGATTTTCTCGAATTCCAACCTTTTCCTGCCCTTCGTATCATCCTTATTTGTGTTTAATTATTAAAAAGCTGAAAAATACACCGGGTTTGCAATGGAACGATGTGCCACATTCTCACTAAGTTGTCCTTGCTTACTGTTTATGTCCATACTTTCTTATGTTCATTTACTTTTGACTTATGACTATTCTCATACTGGATCCCAGATGTAAATCTCTATCTAATTTTGATCTCTACTTCGACTTTACTGGGATATTATCTGTACCTTAATGCGAGTTTGACCTCCAATCATGCAAGTAAAGAATTATGGTTTTTGTTTTATCTCGTTTTCGCAACTTGGTCGGAGTGACAGCGAGAGCTTCTGGAACGTACTTAATCCTGTCTTCTCTGCCATAGTAGTCGTGATTTCCAGCATCGGACCATTGACTTGATGCGTGTCCAAACGTTTCGCTGACATGATAATCGGCATTGTCGGTGGAAGGCTCCATACTTAGCACAAAGTTGAAAGTATCAGTGACAAGTGAAGGCAATCTACTTACCCAATTTTCAGTTCAACCATTTTGGCATCGCTCCTCCTTTGATGAGTTGTAATTCGGTGCTAAGAGTGGTGCCTCTCGGTCACCATGCCGACTAAGATGTCGGCAAAACGTCCGGGAATGTACCAAGTCAACGTTCTGACACTATTAATCATCATTAATACTCGAGGGCAGGGGACGCAGGACTAGGTACATTCATCAGAACCTCCCTGTCGCTCCTAGTAAATTGCGAAAACGAGGTCAAAACAACACTATGCAGCTAAAGAAGATTGTGACCAAACAAAGGCCATACTATCTTGGTCTTTATATCTACGATCTAGAAAGTTGTTAATTATAATCATTGGACTTTACGGCTTTAATGCAAATCAAATCAGGCTTCTTCCCTCTTACTATTTTTAGGATGCATATATTTAGAATTAATCTTACTTATATTACTAAAGGAATTATGCTCCTATGTCCCCTACCTTCAGTGAGTATAGCCTTTAGAAATTGTTCACTTCAATCCCCTTTTATTTCGTTATTCAAGTTACTCACCTTTAATTTTAGAAACGCTTTGATTCGCATTGTATCCCTATTGAACACGGACCTACTTATTTTTAGGCATATTTCTAATTATAGCCATGTTAAAAACCAAAATAAGCCACATTTGAACAACTATTTTATAAAACGTGATTCTTATTCTCCGATCATGTATGTTAAATCGCACTATTTTGTTTCCGGCGCACTCATTTCGGAGGCATCTTAAGCTGATCAAATCATTGAAATTCGTATAGACACTGCCTTTATACTTCACTCAGATTTAGGCATACCTTTTTCTTAGTTTCAATTTCCTAGTCGCTTGATGCTCAGCCCGGGTTTTTTTAATAATTACCCTTCTTTTATTTCATAGTTTTAACATTTTAGTTGTCCTATGCAAAATAACAATTATATAAATTTAATACCATCCCTTTATCCTTTACAGATTTATATTCCAATCGGCTTCTCGCTTGAAATCGACCCAGAAGGATCTTTAAGCTTTGGTCTCGGTCCTACGCATGATTTCTCCTCTTTTCACACCATTAAGCCGCCTCTACTTCAAAACTCAAAAGTAGGAAGTAACGAAATAGGAGCTCAGTCCCAAGGAGGGCTAGCTTCCATCTCCAATGTTGCCGTTTCCCACACCGAGACATGTGCCCTGAATGTCATACCTGTTTCCTCCACTACTCCTGAGGAGAAGGATTTCTCCACTTTTTACAATGCTAATGACATCCAGACCCTGAATGCAACGCTAGACTATCCACTATCCAGCTCTCTCCGGGCCACATCAGGACTCTTTTCCTCATCAGATCCTCCAGCCGTTCCTGTCATTAATAACTTTCTTAGTGATGATCATTGCTTTCTTGCTCGTCCTCTTTATTCTGGTTGTGATGGTCGCAAGTTGAGTGGTGGTGACGATGATGCAGCTAAAATCAGTGTTGTGGTGAAGAATTTCGTCACGCAGACACCTGAATCTTACGCAGAATCGAATCAGGGTCGCTTGGATTTGTCTACAAAACAAACCGGCTTGCTCACCTACTACGTATCAGAGAACGACTTCTTGAGGAAACAGGTAACTAACTTATTTTAATTCTTTTCTATCACTTAATTCTATTTAACTTCTCCACGGATTGCGCTGCTTGCCAACTTATCCTATATTATTCATCAATAATCAACTGATTTCATTAATCTGGTCACGATTTCTGTTCTAATTTTCTCTTTAAAAGATCACATACTGTAAGTTTTTTTGCACTTCATAATTGGTTAACCTTTTTCAAACTGGTTTACATTAGTGAGGCAAAATGGAGGCCAAACCGCTTTTTAGTGGTACAATCAAGTGCTAATATGTACGAATAGGTCGGAACAGATTTTCTGTCCATGGTTGAGGAAGTTGCCTCAATAGTTACTCTATTTACTGTATGAAAATCAAGAAAAGCAGAATTCATCTGAAGATTAAGGAATTTTAGACTTTATTGATGGATTTTTGTAACTCTTTTATGCACTGAACTGACTACTGTTTTTCCAAATCATCAGTATGGCATGGGTCATTCTCACTGCCTCCAAATATGAGACTGGTCAAAAGGTCTAGCAACTATGGTGAAATTCATTTTAAATGGAGTTGGAAACAGGGAACATCGGAGTGGACTAGTTCTGTGGAAGCCATTTGCACTAATCATTGGAGTTTGTCAGGTACAACTTCCGAGACCTTTTTAGCTTTTATATCTTGCACGATATCCATTAGTCCAAAAAGTGAAGCCCTGACATAGCTGCGTTAGTAGCCTGTTCAAATAGAGGAATCTGAAAAACGTACTTTGTAGATTATTATGATGCATCCTCATACACCTCAAGAACTTATGTTTAAATATGGGGAAACCTACAACTTAGATCTAAGGCGGGAAATTTAAAACAATCCAATAGTTGCTTCGGGATGGGCTTTTAGAAGAGGATTGTGGTTTTGATGGAGCTTCCACATTCATGCAAGGACAACCATCTTTTTTCTAGCCCTATCTGTGGTTAATTGGAAGTATTTAAATTAAAAGATATCCAGAGATTTCCTTTCAATTAACTTAAAAACATGTCCATTTTGAGACCATTTATGTGTCAGCTCTCAGAGGAGCAATACTCTATGAACCTATTCTAAGGTGTGGGCAGAAAATACGGACTTCAAATATACCCAAACTCATATCCTCATTTACGGCAATTTATGTGAAGATGAGGACAGGCTTCTGCTTAGGCGAAAGCTGCATCCTGGTGAATCATTGCACAATCGGACCCCAGTTGACGAAAAGAAACGGTCTACTGAAGCCAAATTTGGTATCACTTCTCTCAGAGGTGTTGCAGTTACTCAGGGTGCTTCATTTACCTCACCTCTAGAGTCAGCCGATGCAAAGCCCTCTAGTTTTTGATAGAGCTTATATCGAACCTATCGAAATATTCCTACCTAATTATTAATATGTAATACTTTTCTGAATATGTATCATTTACATCTTTGCCTTCAATGTCCCAAACCCGCCCACTCCATGCTTCAACATTGACAAGCTGCTCACCTTGACCGACAAGTTGTCGTTGCTCTCTGCTGATCTGGCCACCTGTCGAGCCGAACTCGCAGATGCAAAACGTACTTCACGAGAACTTGCTACTGCAGTGGCCACCGCTGCGTTTGTGCAACCACAACAACAGCATCAGCTTCCTCCATCCTGCCAGTCCGATTTGCTGTCCTCAAATTGCTTCGACCAGTCGAAATCGGCCAACTTTTCATCTTTCCCATCTGCCCTCATGCCGACGGCTGTGCCGAATCGAGACTGTCCTCTTTATGGCTGCCATCTCTCCGCTGATCGTGACCTTCTGACACAACTCTCATTTGCGGGCTCTTTGAACAGCCCGGGCTTCGAGCGGCCTCGGTCATCTGGCACCAACCTGGCCACAATCACGCTGGCTGCCTCGGACATTTGTGTTTCCAGTGAAGTGGAAAAGCGCCACCCGACGCTCAGGAAGCCAAGATGCTACACATCAGATCCATAAAAGCCTATCTGAATTTCTAGTCACCTGTGCATATAACCATTTACTTCTATTTCATTCAATCTTCTGGTGTATTCCCAAACGAGTATTCTCACCCTGGTAGTTCAAGGTTATACTCACATTCCTTCCAGTTGATCATTCAGATATTTTCTCTGCTACCATTCCTCGTCATCTTTGTTTTCATTCGGCCTTTCAATTCATTTATTTCCGCCTTTAGGTTTGTCTAAATCGCTCGGCTCAACCTTTCCACTGAAAATTCAGCTTACCAAGAATGGTTTATTTTTCTTCATATTTTTATACTTGGCGCTTAATAGCCTTTCGCTTCCCCTAATTGATGACCTTCCTTTCTCATCCCCATTTGTAGTCCCATGTAAAGATTCCATTTTTAACAGGTAACAGAGTTTTGCCTTTCTTATATTATCATACTTGTATGTGCACTTCCCTTGCGCCTCCTTACAACGTATTTTTGACAATATTTGTGCATAAATTATCGAAATTATTAACACACCTGAGGACATCGACAAGCATTATGATAGCAACGAGTGACCCACCTACGAATAATAATGACTTACTTTAATTCAACTCTACAATTCCTGATTTGACAATAGCCAATGTACTGGCTCCTTAAAGCCCCGCTGCGGACAACTAAATTGTTGTTTTTGGCTATCCTTAAAGAGATTATTCTTCCAAAAATCTTATTAATGTCTCGGGCTTCTCTCATCTATGCAATAAGTGCCATATCCGGCGTCCAATCAATGTAGGAAGAAGTCTGCTTATTTGGCTATTAAACTTCCTAATATCATTTGGTGGCAAAGTGCTTTAGTGGAGCATCTGCACATCCTTTCTTCAGCTTGAATCTCACTCGTTTTCAAGCAGCCCTGACCTCCACGATGTGCTCTAATCTGTCTCTTACGGCGATCTTTTCATGAGGCTGATCTAAAATATTGAGATAATTAGAGGGTGCTTCTTTCCTCTTTTACTTTTACTTATACTTATAATCTTTCAGAGACGACAGCTTCGGCTATGATTCCATCCGTCTATCCATTCTGCCATATTGTCAATCTTTCGTCTTGTTAATTTGCTTGAGTAGTACTTTGTTGCGCCTTTGATTATGCATTTCTTAGGCAGTTCCATTTACTTTTTTATTCTTCTTCGTCGTTTCTTACCAATATACGAGTATATGTTGCTTACTTTCTCCATTAATTCCAAGTTTTTTTACATATCCTCCATTTAGGATATTTTGTTATACGCTTGCTTTTTATTAATATCCTTATCTACATCATCACATTTCCACTTTTGACTTACTATATGGTGATTTTCTAAGCTGTCTGTTGGTTAATACTTTGCTTCACTTTTTTGCCCTGCTTCCACATCCTAGACTCATTCCCTTGCTTTTCCCTATTTCTCCTCTGGCTTTTATATCACTTGTTAATTTAGAAGTTGTCTGACCTTGGTTTCGCAACTTGGTCATATTAGCAGGAAGACCTAGAAGAACTCAACTTGTCCGGAGTATATTGTATGCATGATCATTTCTAGAGTCGGACTGTGGACTTGATACATTACAGACATCTCGCCGGCATCATCACTGAGACTTACCCTTCTCAGCAAATCAAGCTACAACTCGTCAGAAAGATAAGTACAGTCTATCCTTGTCTCTTTGACGAGTTGTAGCTTGGCTTGCTGAGAAGGGCAAGGCTTACAGATGATACCGGCGAGACGTCTGTAATGTATCAAGTCCACATGCGACTCTGGAAATGATTATGCATACTATGGACTCCGGACAAGGTGCGTTCCTCTAGGTCTTCCTGTTAATATGACCAAGTTACGAAACCAAGGTCAAACAACTTCTCTAAAATGAAAGGAGACCACGACCATACAAAAAGCCACATCATCTTGGTCTTTATACCTTTTATTCAGTAGACCTATTTGGTTTTACAGTAGCTTATTGTTGATAGTTCTGATAAAATTGAGCGATATTCTTCGCTACCAAACATCTCTCGATATTTATTTCAACACAATTGTTAATTCCTTTCCCTCTGACTCTCTTCCTTACTCTTACTTACACAGGCATGTCTGCAGAGGCTAGTAAAGGCGCACAAGCACACACAAATCATCTCAAAGCACATTCTAACCAATTCTCTTAAAGTCAATGCTTGGTTATAGCTTATGTCTAGAGCTTATATTTTGGCTTGCCTGCCTCCTTACTAGGAAATCGCTATCTTCAAGGCTCTTTTGGTGTCTATAAAACTATATGACTGCCTCTCAATCTCTTGATGTTGCGGCATGCATAATTCTTGCTATTCCTCTTCAATACAGTACCATTGGCGCTTGTTCTTTGTAGCTTTTCTCTATTTTCATCCACAGGGTCTCTTATTTATCACCTTTAATTCTCTGAAACCAACTTGTGACAGAAAATCTCCCTTCTTGGCAGGGTTTAATATGCTATTTTCCAGTGGTATACTATACCAGTTTATGTGTTTATTACATCTCCCTCAGGCAATTTGAAATAGTTTGCTTGATTATCTTTCGAATTTCCATCCAATTTAGCTCAATAATCCCTAAGTGCATACAAACGCTCCCTCTCTGTTGCCGGCCCATCTCCTTACTTCAGCTTTATTCGATGCCTTGTGTCTTATTAACCTCTTTTTTGTCCAATATTTATTTTTTTATTCGATTTTAGGTACTTCGATTTAACTCCACCAGCCAACACATCTGGCTTAGTGTGACAAAACAGAATTCACGGTTATCTATTTTGCTATTTCTCGATTTCTAGTGTCTATTTGGTTTTTAATATTTAAGCTATTTATATTATTTGGCTGATATATACATATGTATGTGTACTCATTTGTAGGTATGAAAATGCCATTTAGTGGTTTGTTGCATCATTTAGTTTGATCGCAACCTATATTTAGATGTGAACTTAGACCTGCATGGGTCTTCTTTATTTAGTGGGCTAAGACAATGAACTTCTGGCAGGAACAATATCAAGATATCGTATTACAGTATAAGCTCGTTACACCGCAATGTGGGAACTTTTGCATTGTAACAATGGGATTATCAACAACGTGGACCTAGGGCGAGAAATATGAAATTTAGTTGCTGACGGTTTTCACATTAACATTACAGTTTCTGTGGAACTTGAGAGTTTACATC